GTAGGAAGACCCTGCTCCTCTGCAAGGTTCCACTAAATAGTCTTTGAAAACCAGAAGCAGGGAAGTGTCAGCCAGATGCACACAGGATTTTTGTTCAAGATTATGCCATTGCACTCCAGCCTGGGCAACGAGAACAAAACTATGTCTAAAAAAAAAAAAAAAAAAAAAAAAAAAAAAAAAAAGTTAGTCTGTATCGTATCCCAAAATGGGTCCAAGCCATTTCTCAACCTCAGCCACAGACATGTTCTTCCTCAATGCATAATCCTCAACCTGCAAAAGATGAGAAGCATTTTATTAAACCAATGTGAAAGATTTTTGGAATAGAAGTTTCCATAAGATTTGCCGAAAAACATTAAGTACCTTCCATTTCTTGTCTTAATAGCAATCTACAGAGTTAAATGTAGATAGATATTTATTTACCAAGTTGCCTTATTCTCTGGGCAGAAAAACAACATGTAGTAAACATCTGATGCTGAGAAGCTCTGTGTGTGTGTGTGTGTGTGTGTGTGTGTGTGTGGTTTGCATGTAGAATTGGGGGCTACAATAGAAGTATTCTGCTGAAATCAAATTAAGACATTAACTGGAGTAAATTTCTTCATCCTTTTCCCTCACTTTATTCTCATTCACATTTAAAATGAAAGAGGTTCTAGAATTTCATTTGAACTAGGGAAGCCACATATAACGGAAACAGCTAGCTTACCTGATCCCTGGAAATCTTCCCCACAGCAAAATATTTGGACTTCAAATTGGAGAAGTAGAGGCCTGAGACTGCTGAAGCAGGTGCCATTGCTAATGATTCTGTTAACCTAATGCCTAGAGAGAGCAACACGGGGAAAATGCTTATTGACTCAGTGTCTAGCACAGGGCCTGCAGCTGGCAGGCACTCAATGAACTCTTGTGGAACAAGTGAAACAAAGTGAACTCATGCCTTCTAGGTAGACACATGACACAGCATGAAAGCTGTGATCAGACAAGTCTAGCAAATTCCTGCCATGTGAAGAAACAAATCCAGGACATGCAGATCTCCTCTAACCCAGGGGGACAGGCCTAGGAACGACTCTATACTCCTACCTCCGGCCATTCCAGATCAGTTACAGGCACCCTGATTTGCTCCTAAGAATAGACCTTCTCAGGCAGGAACTCTACCCTCGGAGATGAGAACACCAGCTGAAGAGCCCTCTACGGGCTCTGTGCGGCCACTGGTACTAGGGATGACTGAGAGCGCCAGTGAACAAGCAGCCCACAACATTGTGAGAAAGAAGAGACCGTTTTCCTTGGGATCTGAGAGCTCAAACAGACCCTCAAGGATATCTATTCGAAGCCACTCGTTTTATGGACAAGGAAATAGAGCAACATGAAGGATGAGTGCTTTGTCAGGGTTGCCCAGCTAGCTTATGGCAGAAACAGGACTCAAACCCAGATCTCATGGCTCCTAGAGTTAGTGTTGTTCCTGCTGAAGCAGATGCAGCACAGCTCATGGTTTCTCACTGAAATCTGGATGCCTTTATCAGCTTTGATGGCATGCTTTCTATTAATTCTGCTGAAAACTGTAAGCTTAGCCTGGGCCATCTCAACTACATCAACTCTGCAGTAATGACAGAACCAGCACATCAACGTGACAATGTGCAGCCACAGAACCACAAGCAATTCAGCTCTGGGCACAGGACGCTGAGGGCGTGTGTCGGTGTCTGGGCCGTTGTCTCAGAAGGGCACATGCCAGCTTCTCATTTTCAGCTATTAGAATCAATCCACAGGCAAAACATAACAGAGAATTATGATTACAGGTGAGTATAAATGTTAGTATCAGGGTAAAAGTAAAGAGAAGAGAGGGCTGAAGGGAAGGCTGGGCGCTCTGCAAGACCAGTGCCCAGGGACACTATCCATAAGCAATGGGACAAGAGCGTGAAGCACGTGAGGTTACTGAGGGACAAAGGGTCGGTCTCTAAGGGAAGGATTAAAGACATGACCATGCCTGTGACAGGAAACTGGGGCAGGAGAGGCACGGGATGGTATATGTAAGCTAAACTCCCATCTGTTGTAGGCCAAGAGGAAATAATTTAAACTGAAATTTCTAAAACTGATGATGTAAGAATACTAATCAGTAATACTGAAATAAAATGCCAGAATAAATAGTTACAAGTGAAAAAGGACAGCATAAGGGACACTGTGATGAGAAGCCCTTCCATTTTAAAAACATGTTTAACCCTTAGTGCCATTATGTTGATAAGACTCTATCTACTGAAGAAGGACAACAGGAACCCACGGCCTTCTGGCTCATACCCGTAGACTGCTCGATGTCCGCGAGTCTCCACATGGTGAGCTTCTCGGTGTGGTCGGGCTGGCTGGGGTAGCCAGGAGCCGGGCGGATGCCCTCGTACCGCAGCCTGCGCAGGTCTGCGACGTCCAGCTGCTCACTGCCACAGTAGGCCCACAGTTCTCGGCGAACCCTTTCATGGAGCTCTTCTGCAAAGGCCTTGGGACCCAGGGCACCAGGCATGCTTAGGCAGTGGTGGGGGCTCACGGCATCAGTGCAGCCTCCACCCCCTGAATCACAGTCATGAGGACAGCCTCCCTCATCTGGACCACAGCCAGGAGAAATTTGGCAAGAGGGAACAGGCTGGATTCTCTATTGGTTTGTACTTTCATTAGCTGCTCTGCAGCTCAATTTTGGCCTCAACCTGAGCTCTGAAGGACCATCCTTAATGACCTGAGGATTTTCTACCTTAAAACTTAACAATTTCCCTAAAGGTTAATCCAAAGCTCCACTGGCCAGAAAGAGCAGCTGGGACCATACAGCTGCTAGTTCCTCCACTGTTCACTGCAGGAGAAGGGAGAGGCTCTCCCCAGGGCCAAGGCTACCCCCATTTCATGCATAGGAAGATGAAGAATCTATAGATGACACCAGCATTACAATGAGGGGCTCTGAAATAAAAATTTGTTTTTAATTTTTTAGGGTACTGAGGAAAATGTCACATCACAACAAGCAGAGAGAGACAACAGAGATAAGACAGAAGTAAAGGTTCTAAGAGCAACAGCCAACTATGGCACCATTCAAGGTTTTTCTTTGCCCCAAAGATAACATACACAAGCAATCTGGGGATACATGATATTAAAATATGTGTAATGTTAAAGTCAGCAGCATCCAACTCAAGAAAAAAAAAAAAAAAAAGACACTGGTTCTAAGGGCCGATCAGTTTTCAGGCACCCACCCCAGGCTCCCTACCCTTCCTGGCCTCTGTCCTCAGCCCCTTGGCACTATGCCCCTGCCTTACCTCTGCCAGCCGGTCCCCCAGCGCCTTGACCATGATGCTGCTGTAGTCGTCACCGTCATCCTCATAGGCCTTGCTCAGCTCTTCCACCCCAAAGCAGGCAACGGCAAACAGGCCCAGGTAGTCACGGATGCCAGAATGCAGAGGAGCAACGAAGTCTGAAAGGCAGTAGTATGGCTCCGTGCTGGCAGAGTCCTTCTCGGCCTTAAAACCAAGAAGTGTGCGGGGGCGCCATTAGCAAGAACGTGGCACCAGCATACCATGAGGAGCAATCAGGCAGCTTCAAATGAGAACAAGTTTCACAACACAATATATCCCCAGTACTTGGAATGGTGTCTGACACATAGTATTCAATAAATATTTGTAAGATAAACAAATGAAATGAGATTTTTAAAAATGTATGACATGACGTAACATAAACAGTCAAGACAGTAGCTCATTCGCTCATTCCCGCACGGACAAAACATTCACCGAATGCCTTCAGGCACTGTGCTGACGTCACGGTTTTTTTTTTTTTTTTTAAGTTTGTCCCCAAGTGTTTTCAATTAAGTCCAGTAATATGTTTGAAAGAGATCCAATAAACAGAAGCGCCTCCACTCTGCATCAACTGAAGCAGTTCAAACACCACACTGCTGGGGTCAGCAATGCCCAGGCCACGTGCTGACTGACGTGTGGGGTGGAGTCGGGGGTCATTCAGGAGCTGGCTGAGGACACTAGGGCCGGCCGGGCACCAAACCAAGAATTCAGCAGGATTTGCTTCTGGATTCTCTCCACAGCCCTGGGGCCTATCCTCCCCCATTTTTCACCCTCAGCTGATAAGCAACTCTTCCCTGCAACTAAGGTAACAAATAAGGTCTTATACATATTTTAAAAATCAATAAATATTTGCTGAGAAGGTAAACAGCTTATAACTAATACTCATTCAGTGGTTACCCTATGCCTGTTCTTGGCGCTTTATATGAATTACTATTTAACCCCTTCAGCCACCTTGTGACATAAGTGATACCATCAGCTCCATTTTACAGACCAGAAATCAGGGGCACAGGAAGCTTGATCAACTGGCCCAAGGCCAGACAGTGCAAGGGCCAGGGGGCTGGTACCACAACCCATGCTCCTGCATATATGGAACTGCTTAGGACTGATCAATTAATGAGTGGCCAACCAGACACTTCACAGCTCGTTGCCCATGGTGGAAGCAAGTGCAGCTTCACTGACACAGGGCAGGAAATTGTTAAGTGCAGGCGAGGAGGTGTTTGGTAATGGCACACAGGAATGTCACAGAGCTTAGGGACAGCTGTGCATGGGGAAGCCGTCTTCCATGCACACTTGGCCCATCAATTATTCTTTGCTAACAAAGGCCAGAGGGGGACCCAACGCTTCCCTGCACCACAGGAGAGACAGATCACAGAGCCCCATGGTACCTTAGAAGAGACAGCAATCAGAGCCTACTCAGAAGAGCAGACTCCCAGAGTAATAAGGCACTGCCGCCAGAATGTTCCAGAGAGCACTGGAGGAAAGCCCCTCCTGAGAAATCACTACCTGGGTAGGTAATGTATGTGCCTGGCCCAGTTCCCCTCTCCAGAGGCTATTAAAAAGGTGAACTCTGAGAATTCATTCTATTAAATGCCCTAATATGTCACAGATTGCCTGGACATGAATGGTACTGGAAGTAAAAAGAGATCACAGAGGACACAGGACTTGAAAGATGAAAGACTGGGCTGGAGCAGAGGTTTCTGAACACAGTTATGTCTGTAAAAGAAAAGCCACAGATTCCCTCGTAAGCGGGGGCTGGAACTTAACATTAGAACCCCCAAACCTTGTATTCTGTGGTGTCGGAGCCTGGGTGCATACAGTAAGGATTTACTGAGCCTGAGTGCATATGGTAAGGACGTAGCTGTCTTTGTTTAACTCTTCATGGTACTGTTTAAGGCCCCAAATTTAAGAATCCCTTCAGCTGTTGTTATGGTCAAAATTTCTATGATTATGAATTATATTTTGGTTGGGATTAAAATGCGCCACTATCTTTTGTGTTTGCTTGTTTTTTAGAGACAGGGTCTTGCTCTGTTGCCCAGGTTGGAGTACAGTGGCATGACCACTGGACTCAAGTGATCCTCCCGCCTCATCCTCCCGAGTAGCTGGCTGAAGGAGTACAGGCACGCACTCCCCAATGCACGGCTCATTTTAAAATTTGTTTTGTAGAGGCAGGGTCTTGCTGTCTTGCCCGGGCTGGTCTCACACTTCTGGACTCAAGCAATGCTCCCACCTCGGCCTCTCAAAGTGCTGGGATTACAGGTGTGAGCCACTGTGTCCAGCCAACACTATTATTTTTGAATGACTGAAAATGGCAGTAAAACAGAAATAATAATTTACTGCAAATTATTAAAAATGTTAATGACTGGCGAATTCTGGCTCCAATTCTTGATTAAGACACTCTTTTTTACAGCAGCTAAAGGGACATGCATATGATATCTGCCTTTTCAAAGGTGACGGGGATGAGAGAGAAGTTGCTGGAAGAGTCTGTTCTCACCACTCAAAAGAAAAGAGGTCAGCACAGTCAAAGAACAGCCCCTAGGGGTGTGTACAGGCTGGGCTCTCCCGTCTCTACTGGGGGACTCAGCACAATCTCTAGCAGCCTTCATCTTCTCCTCTGTAAAACAGAAACTTAATCTGCCTAACACGGCTGTATGGAAATTAAAAGGATGACCATCAAGCATCTTACTACGCACCTGGCACCTGCTGTACATTCTGCAAATGCTTGTTTCCACTCATCTTCCCCTTTCAAGGGGAACCACCTGACAGTCTGTTTTAATAATATGCACAGATGTTAACCAATGTTTTTGAACAAGTGAGTGTTCTCTTTCCTCAGAAGCTAAGAAGACTGAGATCCTGATGTGTGACCATCTGAGACAGTAGCAGTGGTCCTCGTGCATCCATGGAACACGACGTGAAATGCCTCACTCCTGCTGAGTGGCCCTGCCTCTGACACCCATGCCTCTGGCACCCATGCCCCGACACCCATGCCCCTGGCACCCATGCCTCTGGCACCCATGCCTCTGACACCCATGCCTCTGGCACTCATGCCTCTGGCACCCATGGTGGTGCCTTCACTCCCCGGTCCTCACAGATGGCTTGGGCTTAGGCGTGTGACTGGTCATCTGGGAGGAGGTGAAGCAGACTCTCATTTATGCAAAGCTATTTTGTTTAGTGCTTAAACTCACAAGTGAAAACAGCGTGCTGGCTGTCAGTACACCGCCCATACCTGTTGCCTTAACCCATAGAAGGTGGCTATGGGCTCTGCAGCCTGGGGCACGGCACTCTCTGTGTACAGGTGAATGTCGTCTTGGATACTCTGTGCTGGCCAGAACCCAACCACACCCCGGGCTTGGAGTTTCTTTTGATTAATCAGTGTGTTCAGCATATTTTGGGCATCATCATAGACTTTTTTGGCCTCTTCACCTATTAGAAAAACATAATTAGAATCCACTTAAAGATGCCAAAAGTAACCATCAAACAATGCTTCTTTTAAAAGCCATTACCCCTTCTCAGACACCTTCCCTCTTCAGGCTTCTCCATTTTCCTCAAATGCTTTCTGGTGTTTGCCATTGACCCAGCTTAAAGTGGAACAGCCAGGGTTTTGGAGTTTCTGCTAAGTGCAGCTCCCACAGTCTGCTTCTCCCAGTTCAAGCCACTGAAGTTTTCCATTGGACAAAAAGCAGAGAGCCAAAGCTGGGGCTCCCCAAAGCATTCTGTCAGAGGGGACGAGAAAAAGCAGGCCAGATTCCTCACTCGCTGACGTTCCTCGTGCATGTACAGCTCCACTGACTTCACAGTGACCTCTGGGAGACATGACCCGTGCCTCATATTCTGTGGTGCTTTTAATCCCAACCACAATATAATTCATAACAATTGATATTTTGAACATAACAACATCTGAAGGGATTCTTATATTTGGGGCCTTAAACAGTACCATGAAGTGTTAAAAAAAGGACAGCTACATCCTTACCATATGCATTCAGCCTCAGTAAATTGTTACTGTATGCATCCAGGCTCAGACACCACGGAATACAAGGCACGGTGCATACAAGGCACAGGCCTTGTCCCCTAGAGGTCACTGTGAAGTCAGTGGAATTGTATATGAACAGGGAACGTCAGTGGTAAGGGGTGAAGTATGGCCCAAACCCTCACACGTGCCTCCAGTGCTCCACCTGGCTGGCCTGCTCCCGGACCTGCAGTGCGAGCCAGGCTCCTAGGACACCCTCTCGGTTTCTGTTGTCTGTGAGACTGGGCCATCCTGCCCATGGTGAGAAGCCTGCCCTACGGCCCCTGGACAGCTCACCTGTGATGATTCAGGGGCAGGCAGCACATTGAGAAGCCCCTTGCCCACCATCACGTTCCTGGCTACCTGAGAGCTCCTGAGTCTCAGCATCCTAACACCTACACCCAGGCCCACCCCCCATGGGAAACTTGGCAATAATTTGGTTTCTAGGCTCCTCTCAGCCCTAATCCCATGCTTCTGTGAGCCTACCCCTCCCTGTTGCTCTGATCTGGCTACTACCTGATCCTTTGAATGGCTTTGCATTTGGATTCTGTGTCTCTGTTGGTGGATTCTGGGATGAGGCTAGAAGTGAGAAATGGGGGGTAGTAATTTATCACCTCACCTACTTCTCTAGTTTACACCCCAAATTCCCATTCCCTCCCCAATGCTCCAAGCACAATGGGCTCCTTGCAATTCCCCAAACAGGCACATGTGCCTATGCCTTCTCACACTGTCTCCTCTACCTGGAATGTCCTCTTCTTCAACACCATATCACATCCACAGTCCCAGCCACGGCAACTCCCACTGAATCCTCAAAAACAGTTCAAACACCACCTCGTCCAAGAAGCCTGCCCTGACCACCCAGTCTGAGCTCTGTCTCCTCTTGTGTCCACAGGAGCCCAGGCAGGGCCCATTACTATTGGCTGTGCCAGCTAGTCGGGTGCTAGACAGCAGGGATTTTGTTGTCTTCCATTTATCCCTAGTGCCCAACAAGTAACTGACGTTAATAAACATGTATTAAAAGAATAAAGTAGATACCAAATTTAGCTGATACAATAAGGACCAATCTAGCAGTTTGAAAACATTAAAAAGTTGGGCAGGTGAGCAATATGAAAGCAGCTGTAACCTGCACAATCCAAATCCGCTGCTCCTCACCGATTCCGGTCTTCAAAGTCACAATCCTACATCTTGAATATCAGAGGCAGAAAGGAAGGACATACTGCACTAACCTACTGTTTTGTCGTTAAATATCTTGGGGAAGCCTCGATTCGGGTACTTGCCCCGGAGCTGCCAGACATCAAAGAAAGGCTTCCAGTCAATGTAGTACACCAGCTTCTGCAGGTCATAGTCTTCAAAGACCCGGGTCCCAATAAATGTGGGCTTCACTACAGGAGAGAAGTATGGTTGTCAATGCTGATGCTGGCACCCTGCCTGATGGAGGCCTCCCTGCCAGCTCCTCACTGCTCTGCCAACTCCCACGCTCTGCCTCCCTCCTGTCACCCGTAGGAGTTGTTTTACAAAGAGGGGAACTTTAAATTATCATGGAGAAGGAGTAATTCTGCACTGAGTCTTAAATAAAACTATTCTTCACATGCAGCTGACTACACCACCCTTGGAAACTGTTCCCTCAACCCTTGCATCCCCACCCCCCACCCAAGAAGGAAAGACAAGACGGGTTAATCCTCACTTATACAAATGAAGACAAGGTGAACGTGAAGAACACTCCAGAAAGACATGGAGAGTAAGCCACTTATGTAAAGTTTCAAAACCGGAAACAATTATCTAGATTGCCTACTGATACATATGCCCAGTCAAAATATAGGCAAATGAAGTCCCAAATTCAGGACTGCTGTGCTTTCTGCAGGGGAGGAAGGGACACATGTGGGACTTCCCATACATATTCTTCAATACATAATCCTCCACTCTGCCAAGCACGTGTGTAGCACAGATGTATGAGCAAGGAAAAGCTGATTTATTACCTTGGAAATATAGATTCAATTAATATAACCTCTGTTCACTCTGTATTGTTTCATTTTTAAAAAATCAGATGGTAGGTTATGTCTTAAGCTGGCTAGTAGGTAAACATGGATGTTAATATATTGTTCTTCATACCTCCTGGTGAGTCTGAAATATATCATAACTTAAATAATGGTGAAGACTTCAGAGACAGATGGTGCTGCTGGGCTTTCTGGGGCAGGCAGAGCAGCACTGCCACCTGCCCTCCAGCCCATAGTGTGGTCTGCACCTCAGACTCTGGTCTGACATGGCAGGATCAGGCTGGAATATAAGGTGTTGGCCCCACTGCCATTATCTGAGCCTTCCTGTCTCTCTACTTTCTGATTTGTAACCAGGGATCGGAGAACTTCCTACTCTACTAATCTCAGGGGCTCTGGGAGAACACAGAAGCTTCTATTTTTCTCTCATTTGACTTCTTAATTCTGTCTGGAAATCTCTACCTTTTCATACTTGTTCACAGTAGCCTTTTCCGATTTGTTCCTCATCATCCTTCTACTACACAGGACATTCCCTTCTTTGGAAATATCCTATTATGTTGGTTTGTTGGCAATAAAGTCTTTATGGTCCCCTTAGTAGAGAAACTAAAAGGAATCTACAGAGAGACCCTTGATTCAAGTGTCCTCTCACCTGGGAAGGCAGCGAGAACGTGCTGCCGCAGAGCCACTATGGACTCTCTCTTGACCAAGCTTGTCTTCCAGAGTTTAAGAAATGTTTGAGGTTTTACCATCAGGGCCTTAAAAGAAGACCCTCTTTTATCTCCTATCAACTTCCTGCAACTACCCTAAGACAGGCTGTCCTCAGATATATTTCAGAGGGCCAGGCCTCAAGGCCCCATGGCCCTCGGGCAGCAGGACGGACCCTGCAGTAGCCCCATGCCAGAGGTTAAAGCGGCCACTAAAAAAGCATCCCAACTGCTGCCAGGTGCTATGGCCTTGGGAGCGTATTTCCAGCAAAATATGTTTTGGATGTTTGACTTGATCCAAACAGACTTGCCCTTGTGTTATTATTCCAATTTCACAGGGAAAGATACAGAGCAAATAATCGGAGCCTGAACTATATATAGCAATTTATAGTTTTTCAAAGGTTTTCAGAGAGTATTTTACCCTTACAACATTTCCAAAAAGTAACTCCTTTTTTCACACGGTAGAAACTGTCAAATGTGAAAGCAAGCTGCTCAAGGTCACTCCGTGAATCAGAGCCAAGAGCCACATTGGGATGAGAACCCCGGCCTCCCGGCTCCCAATATGGCATTCTTTCCACCAAACCACGCTGAACTCAGCAGGGATGAAATTAGAACCAAGCACACCTACATTTCCAATTTAATTCGCTCAACTCTGCCAAGCATGTGTAGAACACAGATGTCGTGAGCAATGAAAGCTGATTTGAGGCATTACCTTGGAAATATGGATTCAATTAATATAACCCCTGCTCACTCTGTCTTGGTTTTGCATTTGTGTCTCACGCCTCTCTGCGCCTGTCAAAACATCTTACATGTTTTATTCCCTTGTGAACACCTATATGAGGCAAGAAAGGTGGCTAGAAATTGAAAAAAGGAAGAAACCAAATAAAAGAAATAAAAAGAGAGTGAAAAATTCAGAGAAAGGACGAGAGAGAAAGCAAGAAACAGAGGATCCTGCTTTGCTGCAGCGTTTTAAAGATGTGTGAATGCAAAGGCGTTTCCCATTTTAGGCACTTCACATCTGCCCTTGGGCCTGTGAGAGACCCAGGCCACCTCGGGTGACAGTACCACCAGGCAGGTTTCCACAGAACTTCCTTCAAGGAGACAGAGACCAACTCAAGCACAGCACAGAGGAAAGAGCATGGCTTTAGAAGACAGACCAGAGACAGATTCCTAGTAACCTTTCAAGTTTCCACCCAAAACTCAGTTTCTTCAAATTAAAATGTGGATAATTCCCATGTCCATTACGGAGTCGTCTGAAGGACTCAGAGAGCTGCTATGAGTCCATCTCAGGATGGTGTCTGGCACACAACACCTGCTCCATAAATGGCACCTATTCTCTTTCTTTCCGTTCTTCAGTCACTCATCAGCATTAGACACAGTTGAGAGCTGTTAGCTGCTGGTTTGATTTTGTAGCCAAGTAAATGCATATATCTCCTCAGCACATTGTCAGTTACCACACCCAGTCTTTCTCTAGTCCACAGGCAAACAGACCTGGGTGAGGTTCAGACAGCCAATCCATTTGGAAACCACTTTTTCTGGCTTGACTTAAGGGTAAGTATCTCCTCTCCTGTTAAAAAACAAAGAAAAATTAGTTAGAGACTGTTAGCTTTTCTACAGCTACCATGAAAACACGTCCAAGGCGGCCAGTATGTAAGCTTTGCAAAAAGGCAAAAGCTCTTGTTCATGAGAATCCTTACCCTAAAAAGCTCTTCCTTTTCTATCCAGTCGGTTTCACATTGGCACCAGAATAATAGAGAGTAAAGATTCAATAAGCATCCATTAACTACTGATATGTAAATATGAGCCTGGCTCTGCGGCCTGAACCTGAGGTACTAGGGAGGTGTCCCACCTGCACTTTTAGAACACCTGAGGCCAGCTGTTAACTGGCCTTCCGTGGTCCACCCTGAGGACCAGAAGGTAGAATTAAAGAAACTGTCCACTGTGGGCAAACCTAAGGAGAGAAAAAAGCCAACCACTGCATCTAGCCAGCACCTCAGAAGCAAAACAGCATGTTTTCTTCGTGCTGTTGATCTCATTTCACTTGCCCAGCAACTCCCAAAATGCTCCCACCAAAGCCCATAAGGCAAATAACCAGAAATAAATATTTCAGTGACTTCTAAAGCATAATTATGCCTGTTCTCCATGGACTCCCTGAAGCTTATCAAGAGAGGGACAGTTCTTGAAACATCATTCTGTATAGTCAGTGTTGGGCAGTCAGGCAAAGAGGCTTATACTGGTCCTGTCTTATGTCTCCATTTTCTTCCATTAGCTCCTCAAGAATGGGGATCTGTGGGAGTCATTTCAGTAAACTGTTTCAGCGCCTGTTTCCCTGCTGAGTACGAACTCATGTTTTATTCATTACCGAAGCTCTGGTATCTAGCACAGCAGCCCCTAACACCTACTGGGTACCCAATAAATGTTTGGCTGAATAAATAAAATTCATTTTAATATAACCAAAAATTATTTGGGAACTCAGACACTGAAGACCTCTGATTTGAACTAGAAGACAGAAATTCTCTAAAATGATGCCAAGCCTTTTATTCTCCTCAAAACCATTTTAAGAAGTCACATTAAAAACTAGGATGATAAAAACTAGTCACATTAAACACAAGCGAAGATCTGTTTCTACCACTTACCTTGAGAGACTCATAATGGTCCTGTCTAATATCTTCATATTCTTCCATGATTTCCTCAAAGTATTCATCCTTTAGATTTTCATCTAACAGCTGAGAACACTGAAAATGTAAGATAACCACAGATGAGCAAAAGATGATAAAACTGGTGCAGTAATGGTCAACTCTGATAACACCTCCTTCAGGAAGGCTTCCTTAACTTCATTTCTTCTCCCTTCACCAACTGTGCTAATTCCTGCCTGGTATGCAGGAAAGGGTAAACTCAGTGGCCTTGGGATGTTCAAACCCTGCACAAGCCAAAGAAAGGCCTGGCCCTTGACTGGTTTCTGGGAGACAAACTCTAAACCCTTGGGATAGCCTGTCTGATAAGAGAGTCACTGCGTGCCTGGCACCCTGGGCCATGTCAGATCATTTATGCTAACAGTCTGATTTATGGTGGGGGACCATAGCTCATGCTTATGTTTGACCTCTGCAGGGATTGAAGACTGAGCAATTAAGGCTACACACACGGGCATTCTGGGCCTATGTGACCAAACCCCAACAAAAACCCAGGACATGAAGGTTCAGGTAAGCTTCTGGGTTGGCAAGGCTCCTTACATGTTGTCACACATCATTAGTGGAAGCAATAAGCACCATCCGGATCACTCTATGGGGAGACGACTCCTGCAAGTCTGTACCTGGTCTGTCCTGCATTCCATCCTATGTGCTTTTGCCTTTCCTGATTTTACCTACATCCTTTCACAATAATAAACCATGGTCATAGCAGTGTTTCTGGGTTCTTTGTGTCCTTCTAGTGAAACTTGGAACCTGAAGGCGATCTTGGGAACCCTCTGGGTTAAGTAACCCCCAACCCAATGTTTCAAAAATATTCCATTCATCTACTACTGCACTTTCCAAAGCCTTTTAGTATCAAATTTATATATCCACTTCCCTTACTAGAGAGCCCTATGAGAGCTGCAATCACACATTCACCACCTTCATGCCCTGGTGCCTAGCCCAGTGTCTGGAGATGCATTCGCACTAAATGTTTGCTGAGGGAACGAGGGTAATCTTCATAGTCCACTGTGACTTTCTGCTAAAATTGGAAAGGAAACCAATAATCTGAGAAAATGTGAGTCTACTCATTAAATTGTAAAACCAGGATCGGCTAAATATCATTTGTTACTATGATTATCAAGTTGATAGAAGAAGAGCTACCATCAAAGCACAAAATTAAATTACATAGAAAGAAGAAATGGCAACTACTGATCACATCAGTTGAAAAATAAACATAGCACTACCCCATCCCTGCATTCTCCAGCATGATTATCTAATACACAAAACGGTAAGAAATTTCAACATCTTCATCTGAACTTAAGGAAGTTAGACTGAATGATGGCTAAAGTGCCTATCAGCTTTAGAAGTCTGTAACTCTACGTGGGTTTTCTAAGTATCTCTAATAACAATTTAATCACCTATGAGTTAGTATAAAACAAAATCACCTCATTCAGGAATACAATCAGAAAAGGCCATTGTGGCAGGCCAAAAATAGATTCCCAAATAGTGTTCACACCACAAAGTATTTCCCAGCCTTACATTAAACTCACCTCAATGGAGTCCTCGTTTAGGAAACCCAGCACAGCCCAATGAAACAAGAAGGGAATGTCTACTCTGAACTCCCTGAAGTATATGTAACCAATGTTTTAAAACCCTCTTGCATTTTGCCAGATTATACACCCTGAGAGAGCAAAACCAGATGTCCCTGACATCCGGAGAAATCTACGACCCCCTAATGCTGGTGCTACTGGGTAGACAGAACATACCACTGCAGTTTGCTGGCACCTTGCACAGCCCCATGGAGCCCACTGCTCCCAGAGCCACAGTGGCAGGCCCCTTCTGGCCCGGTCTGACTTACTTGATGGAAACAAGTTCATGGTCAATATGTGGGCTAACCTACATGATCCTTCCACCAAAAAATCAAATCCATCATGTGTTTTCATGCCAACCACTGGGACATATCGCAGTTTATATTTTCCTTCATTTTTAAAAATTGTATTTCATGGCAACAGCCACACAATAAGAGCAAATAAATTGAAAAGATATTTTATAATTTAAAAAGAACAAAATATTGCACCTCGTTTTTTATTAAAGAAGAAAAAAGAAAGCAAGGGGGAATCCTCAGGTCTAAATCTCCAACCATTAAGTATTTGCTACACTTTTTTGGAATCTTCCAAATACATGAGACAGCTGCTAAAATGTGATCCTGTTCCATGTTCATTTCAGTTAGATCAAAAGAGCCTAGGCCAATGAGCCCATAACCAACTGAAACAAATTATACCACTGGCTCCTGAAGTGTCACTAGCAGTTACCCACATGATTTATCATCTGACTTACGTTTGAGTAATTTCAAAACGTGGTCGTTTCTTTGTACATGGGAGGAGCTAACCACTGCTGGCTGCGTGGCTGGACCAAACTGTAAAGAGCACAAACACCCACTCCTCATTCCCCGCCTGGCTTTCAGCAAGGCCCCCACTGCTCTAGTTCTTCAAGATGGTGAAGCAGGCTGGGCGCAGTGGCTCACGCCTGTAATCCCAGCACTTTGGGAGGCCAAAGTGGAGGATCACTAGAGGTCAGGAGTTCAAGACCAGCCTGGCCAACATGGTGAAACCCTGTCTCTACTAAAAATATAAAAAAATTAGCCGGGAGCGGTGGCGCACACCTGTAATCCCAGCAACTTGCGAGGCTGAGACAGAAGAATTGCTTGAATCTGGGAGGCGTAGGTTGCAGTGAGCCAAGATCGCGCCACTGCACTCCAGCCTGGGCAACAGAGCAACACTTCGTCGCACAAAAAAAAAAAAAAAAAAAAAAAGGTGAAGGAGCTTATCCTCCAAACATGGAATCAAAGGGCTGATTCTTTCCCCTGCCTGTAGAGGAAAAGTTGGCACTGTGCAACTAAATGGATCCAAAAGTCTTGCCTCTGAATGGAAACTCAGTGTTTGAAAATGATGACAAGTGTTAAAAAGAGGCCCATGGACCTGACATAAGCTCCTATGGAGCACAATCCAAGAATAAGAAATAAACATTGTTTTAAAATGGAGTTGCAGAAATATAGCTTATTTGCATATTTGTCTACAACAATGGCAAATAAAAAATTGCAATTTTATGATCCCAGACTGAGTTACTTTTATCCTTTTTAATAAAGGCTAATTGTTAAGTATTAATGGGAAACAAGTTTAATTTAACATAGAGTAAGATAACCTGCATTCAAATCCCACACCTGCCACTTGGCAGATGAGTGGTCTCAGTAGAGTTCCTAATCTCTTTATTCTTCTGTCTCCTGATCTCTAAAATGGGGACAATAAAAATATCCACCTCATGAGGTCAGCCTGAGGATTAAATAAAATCCATGTAAAACACTTAGCTCAGTACCTGGCACACTACGTGTTTTCAATAATGTTAGTGATTATTATATAACTTTCATGTAAATAAATTCACAGATCTGAAATAATTTCCTTGGAAGATAGCTCAGGAAATGTGGTCACCCTGGTCCAGGTCGCATGGCATCACTGGAAGTCTCGCAGATCACCAGGCCACCTCAGTAACCTTCCTCGCCTGTAAAATGTGAAGGCTAGACTAGATCTGTGGTTCTCAAACTGTGCTCTTTTGATGAACACTAGGAGCGGGATGTGATGGCAAGTGATGTCTTACTTGGAAATTCTGCCACATTGAATTTCCAGGTAAGACATCACTTAACAGACAAATATTCTGCAGCTGAAATCGATTTGGAAACCACTGGACCACAAGGTCTCTCAGGTGCCCCCCAGCGGTTATAGCCCATTATTCAGTGAAAACAATGACACCTGTAACAAGATAGAATATTAGGCTTCACCGAAAAAGAAAAGCAGAACGTGGGCTAATTGTTTATGATGTTCACTGAGAAGCAGAAACCACTGTTCTGGGTTTTAAATATCTAGAAGATGTTTTTCTGTCTTTGGGTAGGGTCAATGAGGACACTTTCAAGTTTGTTTTTCTATCTGGAAAAAGGTCATTTAAAAATCCAGCATTCTTTTAGACAGTCAAGTAAACATCTATTCATGTTTGTGAGTGGGTGAAATCTTTGTCTGGCTGGTGTCCAGGTCAAAGGTGTCTTGGTGCCAGGCCGTCTACCTGTCTGCTGCTCAGTTCTGTAACTGTCTTTGAAAGTACAGGACATGGTCACCTGGACCTCCTTCCAGCAAGGCAGTCACTGCAGAGGCACACCATAAGCCTCAGGCTGCTCTTTGACCTTTATTTAGTAGAACTGAATAAAAATGAATAGATCTTAAGTTATACCCTTACTTGTAATGCACTCTTTCCAACACATCTGGAATAAAATGTAAGGTCACCCACTTACCACCACGACACTCTTGGACGCATCCAGGACGTGGATTACAGGTGCACTGTATCTTGGAGCTATTTTAACCGCTGTGTGGGTTCTAAAAAGAAGGGTCAGAAAGAAAATATATCCATCAGCACTGACAGTTCCTATACAACTCTTGTTCAGAGCCATTAGAGATAATGCATTTCTACAGTGCTTTCCAGAGAAACATTTCAAGGTGCTTACCTACAAATACTGAACTTCAAATTTCCCTTGTAAAACATGAATGACTTTTTCCCTACTCTAAGATGGGAAACCTAGCCCAGGCTCTGCAGAAGTCTGTGGCAAAAATGAGAAGGACTTTGTCCTCAGCTCTGTTAACAAGGGACTGAGCCCGTGCATGACCTGGTGCTCATTAGCAGCCCGTGTGACTTAAGGGAGGTAACCAGGCCCAGGAAATCACACTGCTGTCATCAAGGTCAGGTTGAGTTCCCTCCTCCAAATGAGCTGGGATAGCAGCCAGGGCCCCTAAGGAACCGGGAACCAGGCAGAGGACACAGGACATGGCTGTCTAGCAGCTGCTCCCCTGTTCATGGGAGACATCAACACTCCTCGGCCCCAATCCCACCTTGTACTTGCAGAATGGAACCCCAAACCCGAAATTCTACACAGAATAATTCAGAGAGCCAAAAGCAAGAAAAATACTGTATTTTATTTTATTTTGTATTTATTTATTTATTTTATTTATTTTTTTTGAGACAGAGTCTCACTCTGTTGCCCAGGCTGGAGTACAGGGGCACAATCTTGGCTCATTGCAAGCTCCGCCTCCCAGGTTCACACCATTCTCCTGCCTCAGCCTCCTGAGTAGCTGGGACTACAGGCGTCCGCCATCACACCCGGATAATTTTTTTCTATTTTTTTAGTAGAGACGGGGTTTCATTGTGTTAGCCAGGGTGGTCTTGATCGCCTGACCTCATGATCCACCTGCCTCAGCTTCCCAAAGTGCTGGGATTACAGGCATAAGCCACTGCACCTGGCCAATATTTTACTTTTAATATTTAAGATTATTTCTGCCCCAAATCCCTATTACCAAACCTGAAAATGTTGGTATTAGGAAGCAACACCCTTTCATTCTTAAAATTGCCTAATTAACAGAAGTGCAAAACAAACTGCCCTGTGATGACTGGATGTTTACAGCAACAGGATAGGCTACAGATCTGCTACTATGAAAGTGGAAACTGAAAACGTGTACAGCCTCCCTCACAGTGGTTAATGCAGAACCCCTGGAGAGGGAGGAGAAGTGTACTCTGGCCACATCCCACCTTCAGAAGGGCGGCCAGCAGCAGTCCCCACGAGACGGGCAGTGCTTTCCGCCTTTTCTCCCCTCTCCTCCTCCCCAGAAGCAGCGCTACTCTTCCTCAAGTGCTTTCATATTCTTCCCCCTCAACAAAAATGTGTGTTTGGAATAGTATCTAGAATATGCTACTATATGAGAAAGAAACAAAGTAGCAGAACACTATGTTTAATGCAATTGTATTTTTAAAAAACAACACCCTCAAGCTTTTCCAAACAACCAACCAATCCTATATCTAAGTTTCTATATATTTAGAAAAAACAGGCCAGGCGCGGTGGCTCAACCCTGTAATCCCAGCACTTTGGGAGGCCGAGGCGGG